CTACTTCCCCTACTTCATCACGTACAAGTGCAGCGGCCTGTGAGTGCGGGGCGGGCTCGGGGCGGAGGGGGCGCGGGGCTCGGGCGGACAGCTCACCTGGCCCGCTTCTCCAGGTCCGAGTACAACGCCTTCTGGAAATGCGTCCAGGCCGGAGTCACCTACCTCTTTGTGCAGCTATGCAAGGTGAGGGCCGCCCAAGACCCACGTGTCTGGCCCCCGTGCTCTCCAGACGCAGGGACCCGCCTCCGCCGCATGCCCCCCACGGTGCACGCCCTCGGGACTCCGCTTGGGGACGGCTCCAGAACACCCGCGGAGGACGGGCTTTAGAAGGGGCGGAACCTGAGAAGAGGCCTAGAAGCAACTTTTGCGTAGCACTTAGAAAAACTGAGAAAACTTCAGTCGTATGGTTGGCTACGGTTCTTTAGTACGGTTAAGCGGTGACTAATCCCAGGATGTCACTCGGGGCTGCTGATACCGCCCAAATAGCCACCCCGGCACCTGCATACCTCACTCAAGATTCTCTGTGATCACGACAGAACTCAGACTTCCAGCCCCCTAGGGACCAGTAATCTTGCCATCGTCTGGTGGTCCCTCTCCTAGGTGGCCCCCAGAACCTCAGTGTCCTACTCTCCACATACACAACTTCCCACAAACCCACGTGGTTTATTGCCTAGCCTTGAGGTGACCTGTTTCTGCTTTCCGTTCTCAGATGCTGTTCTTGGCCACTTTCTTTCCCACCTGGGAAGGTGGCATCTATGACTTCATTGGGGTGAGTGGGTCAGGGGTGGGGGAGGGAGCGCAGGAGTGGAGACCACTGGCCCCTATGCTTACTTAAGCCTCAACCTGACCCACAGGAGTTCATGAAGGCCAGCGTGGATGTGGCAGACCTGATAGGCCTAAACCTTGTCATGTCTCGGAATGCCGGCAAGGGGGAGTACAAGATCATGGTTGCTGCCCTGGGCTGGGCCACCGCCGAGCTCATTATGTCCCGGTGTGTGCCCAGACTCCTGAGAAAGGACACCCGGGTTCCACGGGGGTGCTGGCGGGTGGGGGCTCAGAGTCTGGGTGCTGAGGGTGTTTGAGTACTGGAGAATCCCTTCCTTTGCCTTCCTCAGCTGCATCCCCCTCTGGGTCGGAGCCCGGGGCATTGAGTTTGACTGGAAATACATCCAGATGAGCATCGACTCCAACATCAGTCTGGTACGCAGTCCTACTCTCCTCCACATACATCTTTTTACTGGTAGTCACACACCTCCTAGAGGCCTGGCGCCAACTTTTTGCCTCCCTCCAGGTCCATTACATCATCGCGTCTGCCCAGGTCTGGATGATAACACGCTATGACCTGTACCACACCTTCCGGCCAGCCGTCCTCCTGCTGATGTTCCTTAGTGTCTACAAGGCCTTTGTCATGGAGTGAGCTGGGTGGGGTTTGAGGTTGGGTTCAAATGAGGGTGGGCTATCTATTTGCCTTCTCTCATTGTGGTGTTTCCCCATAGGACCTTCGTCCACCTCTGCTCCCTGGGCAGCTGGACAGCACTGCTGGCCCGAGCAGTGGTAACAGGGCTGTTGGCCCTCAGCACCTTGGCCCTGTATGTCGCCGTTGTCAACGTGCACTCCTAGGCTCGATGTCCCAGACATCGACATGCCTTTTCCCTGCCTGTCTCCAGGTTTCAGTGAAGTAAATAGTATTTGGAAAGTTGTTTCTGCCTCCATTTTTCTCTCAGGAACTGTCTCCCAACAGTATACCCATCTGGGTGCCAGAGGCCCTTGTTTTGGCTTTGGAGCCAGGTTAATAAGCTGGGAAGCCAACCTTTCCACTGAATTGTTCTGTGTTTCTGGAGCAATTCCTCAGGCTCCTTGCTTTTCCTGGGTAGACTGACGGTTTAAAGTAGATGATCTTTGAGCAGTGGAAGAGGCCAGAGCTCTCAGGGAACAGGTGTTAAGAGGGGAGCTAGAATTCAAGAGAGAGCTCTTGGGGGTCTCCTTCTCCTCTCCTCCAGCCTCAACCTCATCTTATCATACATGAGCCCTTCCTTAGCTGGTTACCTCCTAGCTTCTGGCCCCAGTCTTCCTTCCTCTCTGATCCGTCCTTTATATGGCAGCCTAGATCTATCTGAAACCATCTTAGATGACCTTCAGAAGGTCATCCTTCCCTATTGAAAACCATTTGTGGCTCCTCATTTTACAATGGACTGTCTGACCACTTGGCCCTTGGTTTTACCCTTCACCTCTTTGTAGCTGCTCCCTGGAATGATTTGCTCAACCAGTTTTTTTTTGTTTTTGTTTTTGAGTAGGAGTCTGTGCCCAGGCTGGCGTGCAGCTGCACACTCTTGGCTACTGCAGCCTCGACTTGCTGGGCTCAGGTGATCCACCTCAGCCTTCCAAGTAGCTGGAACCACAGGCGAGTGTCACCACACCCAGCTAATTTTTTTATTTATTGTGGAAAGGAGGTCTCACCATGTTTTCCAGGCTGGTCTCAAACCCGTGGGCTCAGGCAATCCTCTTGCCTCAGCCTCCCAAAGTGCTGGGATTACAGGCATGAGCCACTATCCCCGGTCCAGCCAAATTCTTAACATCATTCAAGCCATAGGGTCCCCAAGGTTAAATAATATCATGCAGGACCTCAACACTCTAGTGGAGAAGGGAGGGGGCAACTTTCCTGTCCTACTCCCTGGAAGATCCCAGGGCTGGGAGGACTTTCCTGAGTGGGCAGGATTTGCATCAAAGTGGATCTTAAACACGACACATTCCCCTCAAGGAAAGAGAAGAAATGACCACTTGACTGTTAGTGGGGCTAGGCAGAGAAAAATATCAAAGGAGGTATAATGGTGTTGAGATCAGAGAGGGGGCCTGATTTTTCCAGGGAAGATGAGAACTGGTTGGAATGAGTTCAGGGAGCTTGTGTAATGACAGAATTTTGCAGGGCCAGATAACAGGTGGCTCTGAAGACTGGAAATTTAACCAAGGCATAGAAGGAAGAGTTATTCTGAGCTCCTCATTGCTTTGACTCAGTTCTGCGGCCTTCAGATCAAATCCTGGCCTGAGTCTTCTTAGGGTGGAGTACAGAGACTGCTCCAGCCAAATAGCAGAGCAGCTGAGCCCAGCTTGTATATTGTCCTGGATACCCTCCCTCACCCCTTCCCCAGACCTCCCTTAGTCTAGAGAGGCCAGCCCTCTGCCCCATTCCCTCCCTTTTCTGAGGGGAATGTGTCACGTTTAAGCTCCACTTTGCTGCAAATCCTGCCTCCTTAGGAGGGTCCTCTCCAGCCCTGGGATCTCTCAGGGAGTAGGACAGGAAAGTTGCCCCCTCTCTTCTCCACCAGGGTGCTGAGGTCCTGCCTGATATTATTAAACCTTGAAAAGCTCTTCTGTGACAGTCTTGGTGTTTCCAGGTGGAACATTTGCCCTCAGAAAGGGCAGCCATCACCTATCCCCACTGTTCCTCATTACTCTGAGGAAAGACAGGGTCCACAGATCTATTAGGAGCTGGGAGTGATTGGCTATTTTGACTTTGATGTGGAAAGGAAGTGAATGGAGCCCTCCTCCTAGGTCATATGGGTAGATTTGTAACAGGGCCACTTTCTCCCACATTTCCATGCCCCACTTAGCCCTTGACACATATTGGGACAAGTGAAGCTGCAGAAATGACCCACTGTCTGAAATCATCCCAGTTTATATGGGGCTCAAGGAAGGAGGCTAAAGTGGTTAGGGCTGTGACAGTGAAACCTGGGCAGTTGTAGGACTGTGATGAGCCAGGCTGCAGCAGTCAGAGCTGTGATGGGAAAATGCAGAGGTTTTAAGGACCCACAGGAGTTGCCTAACTTGTCTGGAGGCAGCGTGGCCACCCTGAGAAGATATGTGAGTTTAGATCTAAAGAATGAGTTAGTTGGGCTAGGTAGAGAAAATATCAAGGCAAGTGTAGTGGTGTTGAGGTCAGAGAGAGGGCTTGGATTTTCCAGGGAAGATGAGAATGGGTTGGAATGAGTTCGGAGGGACTTGTGTGACTATAGAATTGTATAGGGGCCAGATCACAGATGGCTCTGAAGGCTGGCTGGGGATTTAACTAGGGGCCGAGGGGAACCATGAAGCATTCTAGGCAGAAGGACAGGGTCAGCTTTGGCTTTAGGAAGTTCTGCATGGCTATTGTCTGGAGGGGAGAATGAAGCCAGAAGGCCAAGGCTGGACCAGAGCGGAGCTGGCTGTGTTAGGAGAGTGACTAGAAGCCGAGTAGTAGTGAGGTGGTGGCCAGTTTATTTATCGGCAGGGGATGCAGTGGGGAGATAGCAGATAAGGAAGGGGCAAATAATTCCTGGGTAACAAGTTTGGGGTTTGCAAGCTCTCTGAGGACTTACTACATTTCCTTGGGAATAGGGACTACACGGATGGGATGGTGTGGATCACCTTGGACACACTGAGGGAAACTGGAGACAGATGTGGGCATCACTTTGGAGACAGAACTGAAGCCTGGAGGGTAGGGGAGCTTTGGTGACAAGGAAGGAGAAACTCAGGGCCCAGCCAGAGAAACACATTATAAGAAAGGGAAAGAGGCTAGGCACAGTGGCTTACACTTGTAATACCAGCACTCTAGGAGCCTGAGGCAGGAGGATCTCTTGAGCCTTAGAGTTCAAGACCAGCCTGGGCAACATAGTGAGACCTCACCTTTACAAAATATTTTTTTAAATTAGCTGGGCATGGTGGC